TTCCTCCTGTTGTGATTTGATTCTATGTTACTGTGGTATAACATTATGACCCAAAGTGACTTGAGTGGAGCAAGTTAACTCAAGGCAGGAACCAGGGGGATGCTGCTTGCTGGTTCACTCACAGGCTCATGTTCAGCCATTTTTCTTATACAGCCAAGGACCACCTGCCTAGGGAATAGTGCTGCCCACAGTGGGCTAGGTCCTCCTTTATCACAGACTAACTTGATAAGGACAATTGCTCAATTAAAACTTTCTTCCAGTAATTCTAGACTGTGTCAAGTTGACAGTGCTAACCAGGACATTTATGTTCTTTCTTTTTTTATTTATATATACTTTTCTTTTCTAACTTGTTTCTCTTTAGTGTCTTAAATTTTTGGACCATTTCTTATCATTTATTTTTATTAAATAATTTATTTAACATTAAAGTATACTGACTATCCTGTTACGTTTTAAATTCTGATTCATATTTCTCTTCCATGGTTTGGTCTCTCAGCCTTGCAAATGCATGATGGGTTTGAGCCACTGTGAGTGGCTGAATATTGCAGATTTGTCTTTCAAATGTACTTCTCATACCTGAGGGACGTCATACTGGTTCATAGTCTTTGTTCTTATAATAATTTTATGTACTGATTTTCTAAAGCTGCCACAAGGATACCATGGATGTTGTTTAAACAACAGACACACACTGTCTCACAGTGATGGAGGCTGGGAGTCCATGCTCATGGTTGATGGGGCTGGTTACTTCCAGGGCCTGTATGTTTACCTGACAACAGTCACTATGTCTTCATGTGGACTCTCATAGGGTCCTCATATAAGGACTCAGGTATAATGGATCAGGGCCCACTCAGGTGGCCTTGCATTTACCTCATCTAAATTTTCAAAGGCACCTGTCTCTATCTTGAAAGACACCGAGGTTAGAACATCAGTGTGTGAAATTGGTGACACTATGGTGTTATCCCTTCGAAGAGACACGTCAAAGTGCCAGCCCCTGATTCAGAAGCAGAGTCATTGCAGATGTAATTAGCTAGAATGAAGACACAGCAGAGTGGTTGGGACCCCAATCCAGGAAGACATTAGTCCTCTTAAAAAGAGGCAAAGACACACGTGGTGAACGCTGTTTGATGGAACAGGAAGAGCTGGAGGGACGTTACTATAGCCAAGGAATGCCAAAGGTGGCAAGCGAGTCACAGGAGACTGTGCAGGGCCATGCCCCTCCAGGAAGAAGGTGCCCCAGGGCAGATGGAGCAGAGAGTGGCAAACACATAGTGGGCGATAACATACCTACTATGCAGAGGCACCTAGTTCACAGTCCTTTGCTAGAGAACCTAGTAGACAGACTCTCACATTGATGCCTTTCGGTTGTTCCTCTCTAAGAGGAATTCACTTCCCTGGCATTTTAAAGTCAGTACAGTTCATAGTTGCTTCTCTGACCTCCTAGAGCCCCCTAGGCTGTTGCCTCTGGGCTGCCCTCTCTGATGTGCCTGTAATGTCTGGGACCTTCCTCTTCCACGATGTCTGTTGTCACTGTTGATTTCCTATTGTTTCCATAAGCTGTCCCTAGAGAGACCCTGACACTAAAGAAAGCCTTGACAACTCAATTCCACACTGAGAGCTGAACTGCTCCCCCTAACTCAGTCCCACCATGGGCTCCCACATGCCTTGGCCACTGGGGTGTGAGGAGGCTCTCATTTCCTGAGCTCCCCACATTAGCCTGCTGCTCTTTCCAGGGGTCCTTCGGGGCTGTTTGGGATTCTCCAACGTGCAGAGCGAGGCCCTCACTTGAATTTGGGAGGTTTGTGGAGCTGCTGTGTTGCTTTGCTTAGTAATATTTCCCATGAATTTGTCATCTTCTTGCCCAGTTGTTCTGAGTGTGAGCATCTGGGGGGCAGGATGCAGAGAGCTTCGAACACTGCCTGCATCTATCACACTGCCCATTCTGCACACACTTCTGCATTTTGAATTTCCCTTCATTTTAATTTTATGTGTATGTCTGTTTTGTTTGCACATATGCATGTGAACTACATGCCCGATTATTTAATGAGTTGCTTCTTCAGGCCAAACAGCCCAAAGATGCCAAAACCAACCACAGAGACTACTCCTTCATTCAAAAGCCCACAGCTTAGCAGGTGTAACAAACACGTTAAGAATTTTAAGACACCAGGGTAAATGCTATGAGGGATGCCTGGGGCCAGAGAGAGCTAACCACGAAAGGCTTCACTGAGGAGGTGGTCTTTGAGCTAAGTCTGTAGGAAGAATGGCAGTTTGCAGAAAGAGGGCAAGGCTCAGACTGAGGCCAGGAGCTTACATAGTCAGGGATTGGCAAGGAAGGGGCAAGCTGCCCTACGTTCCAGGATACCAGCAAAGGTCATGAGCCAGGGAGTGGGAGCTACGGCTGAGAGAGTAAGCAGTGGGAACAGACAACTTCCAAGGGAATTAAATTTTATGATCTAGGAAAGAGAACCAGAGAAAAGGAGAAACTGGAGAGCAAGACCAATCCTTCAGAGTCCTCTGCTGTAGCCTGGTGCATGCTCTGAGGGACAGGCAATGTGAAAGCAATGTAGCTCCCACATATCAGAGTAAGGTCTGGGTGCCAGAGCTTCAGGTTCTACTAAGAGACAGCACCAGCAGTAGATCCACTGAAAGCCTGAAAGCCTAACCCAGTGTGGTGGTTTGAGTGAAAATGGCCCCCATAGGCTCATAGGGAGTGGCACTATTAGGAGGTGTGATCTTGTTGGAGTAGGTGTGGAGAAAGTGTGTCACTGGGGGTGGGCTTTGAGGTTTCAGAAGCTCAAGCCAGGCCCAGTGTCACTCTCTCAGCTGCCTGCTGATCTAGATGTAGAATTCTTAGCTGCCTCTCAAGCACTGTCTGCCTACACACGGCCATGCTTCCCGCCATGATGACAATGGACTTATCTTCTAAACTGTAAACCAGCCCCAATTAAATTCTTTCTTTTATAAGAATTGGAGTGATCATGGTGTCCCGTCATAGCAATAAAAGCCCTAACGAAGACAGTCAGTATTGGCAGGATCTCCATTTTCTCAACAGACATGGACAGAGTGCTTGCCATGTGCCAGGAACCTTGCCAGGAGACCAGGACAGTCTCACAATGAAACAGACCTAGTATCTGCCTTTGTAGAGTCTTTTAGATGGTGAGAAAGACAAATTCAAAGAACAGAAGCAAATGGGAATCTCAGGCTGTTCTAAGTACCAAAAAGGTAAGTGTTATAAGCAAGAGAGACAGAGAGAACACAGGCTGGGGTGCTGGGCAAAGCTCCTGTAACAGGAAGGATAGGGTGAGCATCCCCCAAGGCTTCCTGTATTGACATTTAACTCTTATTGAGGTGTTAAGAGCACGGACACTCACTGCAACTATGATATCTAGAGATGGGAGGTGAGGAGGGCAGCTTGGGTGAGGCACTCACTATGGTGGAGCCCCACAACTGAATTCTGAAGGCTGTATTAAGAGACATAGATGCTTATGCATGCTCCATCTTGCTCCATGTGACATCCTGAGACCCACCAGGACTCTACCAGCAAGAAGGACCACCTCCAAGTGTAGACGCTCTACCTCGGATCTCCTTAGCTAGAAGCCAAAGGAGAAGCTAAACAAACATCTTTTCTTCAGGAAGTTACCCAGTCTCTGACATTTTGTTATCTTAATAAAAAAAAAAAATGGGTTCATTAGGCCTGAAGAGGAAAGCCCACATAAGCTGAGACTTAACTAGCTTTTAGGCTAAGGGTATAAAATTATGTCATTATGGCTTAGGGGAAGTGTGAATGGGGAAAGTAATTTGAGGTCAGGCTGGACTGTCACCCTAAGATGAAGTTGTGCCCACCCTTGAAAATCTCATTGAGATTTTCCCATGGTTCTGTGGTTAAGCGCACCAGCTGCTTTTGCAGAGGACCTGTGTTTAGTTCCCAGCAGTTACACGGAGACCTACAAGGTCTGGAACTCCAATTCCAGGGTATCTGACACCTACTTCTGGCCTCCACCAGTCATGCATGCAGATAAAACAACCATACACATAAAATAGGTATTTTAAAAATAAAGAAAGAATAGATGAGAACAGGGACCACAACCACATGCAACGGATGCCATGAAGGATCTTAGGTCAACTCTTCAAAATGCTCCAGCTCCTGAGCCGAGTGAACTGTGGGGCAAGTCGAGTTGATGCCAGGAGATCGGCAGCTGGCTTGGCTGGACTCGTGATGGAGAAGACAGAGGCAAGAGGCTCAGGGCTCACAGTGCAGGGACGGTGACAGATGGACTAGGCAGAGCTGTGGAGCTAGGGTACACAGGCCACCTGTGTCATCTTGAGCAAATACTTTCTGAGTATCCACAAAGACGATACACACTGGAGGTGTATACGAAACATCTGTTAGACATGTCATGGCTCCAGCAAGCACCACAATAGGGCTGGTCTTTACCTCCTCTTGGCACAACAGTGGGGCTCAGTAGAGGCAAAGGAGTGTCTTTAGTCGAGAGCTTTATCAAAGATCGACTGTGTTCAGTGTTTGCCCAGAACAGATTAGTTACATGCCCAGCCCTGATGACCTTACACATGATCCCCAGTGGCCAAAAGACCTATTACCCAAGCTAGCTAGGCTACAACAGGCTGAGTCACGAGAGTCAAGCCCTTTCCTTTCTTGGGGGTGGGGGGGGGTGTTTAAGAGTTGAAAAGATGAAGGAGGCAGAGCTCGGGCATTTCTGAGAGTGAGCCTCCTTTCTCAGCCATCACGACTACTCTTTGGAGTTTATACAACAGGAAGAAAGCATTCATCGGTGTAGACCTGGCCCAGCCTCACTCTTCCTTTGCCTGGGCTGTCTGATAATGCAATAATGAACTTTGTGGCTGCGGTTCTCAGGTGCCTAGACTACATGAAAGTTATTCCCCAGTCACGCATTAGGGAAACCAATTCTGGAAGGGGCTCAGCTTAACCCCCGGAGAAAGCAGAGAGGCCCGTGTCCACACCAAATAAAACCAAGGTACAAGGGGCATGCTCTTGGGATGGCTGCTGAGAGTTTATTAGAACCCCAAGGGTGGGAAAGCAACAAGAGGGAGTGCCCAGGGCCCAGGCAAGCACTCAGAGCTCTGCAGACACAAAGATATAAAGCTTGGCCACAAAGGAGCTGGCTGTGCCGTGGCGATAGAGATCCATCTTGACGGTCAGGAGCAAGTCCCTGGGCTCAGGGATGGGCTTGGTGAGGGCCACCACCCCACTGTGGTGGCTCACCTTTCGAGTGGTAAAAAAGCCCTCCTCATTGCCAGCGGTGATGGCCAGCTGCATGCTGTCCCCAGGGACAGCACTGGAAGGGCCCATGCGGAAAACCACCGCGGGCACTTGGATGTTGGTGGGGAAAGAGAGGTGGTAGTAGGTTATTCTCAGAGGCAGCCTGGGGCACTCCTGGTTCTCATGGCAAGGCAAGCGCTCACAGCGGCTGAAAGACAAGTGGACAGAGAGACAGGAAGAGGGTTAGCGCCTCCTCAGCAAGCAGAGAAACAACAGAGTGTGGGCAAGCGCGGCTCACTGGGCGGGACCTCCTGCCACCCCTCTGATTGATGCAGCCAGCACAAAGAGCACTCTCACTCACCTGGGGGAGGTGCTGTAGACCTCCAGGCCGCAGACTTGGGTACAGCCTCTTCCAACACCCTCTAGGGGTACTGGTAGCCAGGGTCAAGCCATACCCAGGGGGAGATGTGTCCCCTTCTTGAGGCAGAGAGCTAGCTACCCTTGGCACACTCAGCAAGGGCCTCACCTAGATAGTGGCCAAGGCCACAAAGAGCTCCTAGGTGGGTCTCAGAGACTACCCAGAAATCATCAGGACTGATGCCATTTACTGCATGTGGGACTAATCCCCCACACACTCCTTAATGTCGTCACAACCAGTTTTCAAGATGGAGGCTTGAGTGCCCCTTGCCAGATGAGGAAACAGGTTCAGAGAAAGCCACATCGTGAGGGAAGAAGCCAAGTCTATGCCCAGGGATGAGATCAGCTCCCCAGCCTTGTGATTCAGCTTTGGACACATGGTCCAGTTCCCTGCTTCTGTCCTCAGAGACACAGTGGGGCTCAAAATGGAGATAACAACAGGTTCTAATATCCTGTGAGAAGACTGAACTTCCTGTGGCAGGATGAAGACAACTCCCAACTTTCTGTGTGGTGGAAATGAAGACAGACCAAAATCATGTGAGAGAACTGAACATCCTGTGGTATGCTCAGGACAGGCTCTAACTTCCTATGACAGGCTGGTGACAGGCCTAACTTCCTGTGTGGTATAGATGAAGATAGGTTCTCATTTCCTGTGACAGACTCTAACTTCCTGTATGTGGTATCGATGAACACAGGTCCTAACTTCTTGTGTGTTAGAGATGAGGACAGGCTCTCACTTCCTGTAACAAAATGGAGACATATACTAACTTCCTGTCACAGGAACTGATTTCCTATGATAGGGTAAGGATAAGTTCTCTTAGTAACGTCTAATTACAGACTGTAACTTCCTGCGACAAGATGGCCACAGTATATTCTTGCTGACAGGCGAATGACGGGACTTGTGTTCTAGTCTTGAACACCAGGCCCAGCACATGCTGAAGGCAGAGTGACATGAATTTAAGAAACAGAACTGAAATGGCCAGCCCCATAGGACATGACCAAGCCCTCCTCGGGGAGGTCTGCCATTTTGACTGAGTTTGTATTCTCCAGTCACGGAATCTCTTAGGGTCTTGTATCACATCTCTCCTCTGGCTTTTTAAGTCTCTGTGTCTTGTCCTGGGTTTACTTCACATTTGACATTTCTTGTGGATAGCATTTCTATTTGTGTCTTACTGGACGCTCATCAGGGCTGTGAGGAAGCCTCTCACTTACTTGACCAGTTAACATTCTGGCTCTAAGAAAAGAGAAGTCCTTCAAGTAAGATCCATGGCACCAATGACAAGAGAGAATCGCAACCAATGAAGAAGGAGCCTGTCTGTCACAGAGAGTCCAGAGCTGGGAGTAGGGACTAAGGTGGACATCGTGGGTACTGTTGAAAGACAGCTGTCCCTAGAGATGTCCCTAGAGGACCAGGTCAGATGGGGGTGTTCCACATGCCAGAGATCTCTTTATCAAGGATGGGCCTTTGATGACTGGGAGAGAGGAGGGCCAGGAGAGCCAGGCAGGCAGCTGGGTCCATGCACTGTGTTCCTCTGGGGTCTCAACGGCAGTAAGCAGCAAGTTTAGGTTTCAAATTTGGCCTATTTCCCTTTAGAGAGAGTGCACACACACACACACACAGACACCACACACACCACACACACTCACACAAAGAAATACATACACCATATATACTCACATACACACAGCCACACACACATCAGAAACATACATCACACACACACAGACACACACATACCACATCCACTCATGTACAGAGACACAGAGACACACACACCACACACACTCACACACACACACACACACACACACTCACACACACATACACACAGCACAGGCACTACTTCAGGAGTCTAAACGGATCTGGTCAGTAGGTGGTGCTAGAGTCTCCCCTCATGGAATTCGGCTTTCCCGCTTGTCCTGTGGGGCCCTCTACTGAGTTACCACAAAGTCCACAGCAAATGTGAAGGAAAGGAATGGGAGACGTGCATGATGTCCTGATGCAGCTCCTGTGACCATCACATCTCAGAGCATGACAGAGATGACACCCAAACCCTCCCTGGAAGAGGTGTCTGGGCTGGCTCTTTTTAGACCAGCACTCACTTCCCCGATGAGGCCGTGGCTCCTTGGCTTTATCTGTAGTGCCGGCACACTGTGTAAACAGCCGCTGAACAGGCAGACTTGGTCCTTGAGTTTCCTGCTCTGCCCCAAATTTATTGAAACATCCTAGAAATCAGCTGGGTGGTGACTTTTAGTTCTAGCACTAGGGAGGCAGAGGCAGAAGGATCCCTGTGAGTTCTAGGCCAGCCTGGTCTACAGAGTGAATTCAAGGATAGCCAGAGGTACACAGAGAAACCCTGTCTTGAAAAATGAGAGAGAGACACACAGAGAGAGAGAAAGACAGAGAGAGATAGAGAGAGACAGAGAGAGACAGAGAGAGACAGAGAGAGAGAAGAGAGAAGTGAGAAAGAAGGGGAGGGAGATGAGGGAGGAGAGGGGAGAGGAGAGAAAGGAGAAAGGAGAAAGGAGGGGATGGGGAGAGGGGGCAGAAAGGAGGGGAGGGGAAGGGAGGAGAGGAAACATCTTAGAAACCACAATCACTGTGTGTGGCAATCTACTGGTCAGACTAGGGACAGCAATAAAACCTGTTAGCTGAATCACCCCGATGGGGGTGGATCTATTACAGAGTAGGGAGGGGGTGGGGGGGGCTGGACCTCAGACCAGCTCAGCACGGGGAGCAGGCTCACAGTTTCCACACACATTCCCTCCTCATACATGCATTACAGTGCAAGGTGCCCCAATTCTCAACTTCAGCATCTTCGACTGCAGCAGCCCAAATTCTGTGAACATGATCAGAAGCCACTACGGGAGACAGACCACAGCGCAGAGGAAGGCAAGCGGGGCCAGCCCTGTGACCACCTGCTGATGTCATTCCCATTGGTCATTCCTGAGAGACACCCAGGACCTGGCCAAGTCCCTCGTGAGCTCTGTGGCCACAGCTTTCCACTCGAGCTACTTTCCTAAGACACTGTATCCAAAAGGACCCAGCTTCATGACAGCTTCACAACCGTACTCCACCCGAATGACTCCATGGGCAGGAAAAAGGATGTATCCAGTCCCATGGAATGCTAGAAACAGCAGAGAGAGAGAGAGAGAGAGAGAGAGAGAGAGAGAGAGAGAGAGAGAGAGAGAGAGAGAGAGAGAGACAGAGAGAGACAGAGAGAGAGAGACAGAGAGAGAGAGACAGAGAGAGAGACAGAGAGAGAGAGCACACAGAGGGTAGAAGAACAGACTGATTCTCACATCTTACCCACTGAAGTTACAAAGCAAGCTACCCACTGAAGTTACAAAGCAAGCTACCCTCCTAGAGGGGGAACCTCAGGAGAGCCACCCACTGGCTCCTTTGTACATACATGTATGCAATGTTTGTGTGCATGTATGCACACTCACATATGTCTGGGTATATGTGTGTGCACATGTATGCGGAGAGCCAAGGCGGCCATCTGATGTCTTCTTTGATCTCTGCGGAAGACAATGAGGCAGGACACCTCACTGGAACTCGGGGCATGACAATATAGCTGGTCTAACCAGCCAGCCTGCGTGGGGGATCCACTGTCTCCACGCGAGATTACAGGTGAGCTGCTGGACCCGAACTCCAATCTTGATACTTGTACGGCAAGTGCTTTACCTGCTGAGCCATTTCCTCAGCCTGGTCCATCTTCTCTCTTTTGAGACAGGTCTCATGCAGCCCCAGATGACCCTGAACTCCTGATCTTCCTGCCTCTACCTCACCAACGCTGATATTACAAGCATTGCGTCACGGCATCCGGTTTACACCAGCTACTGTCTCCTTTCTAAAGGTCAGAGAATTTAGAGGCCTCAGTTTCTGATGAGGAGAAGAGGGAATTGTTGAGGAGAAGAGGGAATAGAAGCCTCTCATCTGAGACGTGCCAGGAAGTGAGTCTCTTCTCAAGAGTGCCACCCCCTAACTGGGGTGAACAATGAGTGAAACCTTCCCACTGGAGACTCAGGCCACATCTCCACTCCTCCACCCAACACTGGTCTTGCAACTGTTCTACGACTCAATGGGCACTTTCAAAGGAGAAAGCCGTAACCAGAGAGACTCCTGTACAGCTGCAATCAGGAAGCCATAACCATGACCTCTTCATGTCCTGTCTTAGGCTTTCCCAATCAGGGAGTTGAGTGACTCTTAGATATAGCCCTGTCACACACTGACCAGAAGAACAAAACTGACAACGTCACTCAGAAGGAATTTTGTCCTCTGATTTGTACCCTGGGAAGAAGAACAAGGGTCCAACACCCTTACCTCTACAACATCTCAATGTGCTGACTGGGCCAGCACTGAGCCAGGCTTGCCATCCCTGATTATCAGGACCTGACCAAACAAGCTTGGTACCACCTTACCTAGGTAGCCCAAAGTTGACCCAAGGTCACAGCACTTAGAAAGGCCAGAAGGCTCTTCCATCTCCACATGGCCTCCCAGATCTACACGCCATATCCGCCGATGACCCAGACTCCCTTTACTCAACAGTATTGTGGAGATGAGTGTGTCTTAGGCTGCCTGCCCCCCCCCCCACTAGGCAGAACCTATATAAAAAGAGGGAAGCTGTGCCCCACAATCAGGGGTCACTCTCAGGGGTCCCTGCAGACCATCCCAATATTCCATTTTACAGCTAAGAACAAGACGATCCAAGAAACCCAATTAAGCCAGACTCCACAACTATGATCTTTCTAGAATGTCAGTCACAGCATCTCCATAAGGCTTGAGTCCTTACTTGGAAGAAAAGCATCCCCAAGGGGGTTCACTTGGAGCTCCCCCAAATCCTCAGTACAGAGTGCTCCACCTCCTCCACCCCCATTCTCCTCCCCAGTCCCTGTTGAAGTGTCACGGGTAGACAGCCATCTTCCCAGGGCTGAAGCATCAGTCCGCGCCTCCCTCAACCCTGTGTCCACATCCAGTCTGTTTTTATGGGGAACACAGAAGCAGTGGGACAGGACAGCTGAGACCTGGCATGCCAACCCCACACTGGAAGGAAACGCACCCCAGGTTCCCAAGGACACCCTATTTCAGTGTGTGAAGCTCCCTGATCTCCCCCACTGCCTAGTTCAGCTCCCAATGGCCTTAATTCAAGCCTGGTCAATACCATCCTACCTGCCCACCCGTCTCCACCAGGCTGGCCTCCCTATGTTCTTGCAGCATCCTGTGTACTCTGTTCATTGTCTGGCACGTGCTCCTAAGAGCTGGCCTAAGGGGTAGGGCATCCATGGACCAATGTTTACCCAGGAGACTGTATACAGTCAGCCCACCAGCACTTGGGTTTTGCTAATCTTAACAATAAACTCAGTAACCAAGGTCAAGCTGCCTACCCATGGACTTGTATGTCCTGACCTCAGCAGGGCAGCTTCCTCTTTCAGCCTGCTGGCTACACAGGAGTTAGAAGTTGCCATTGCAACCACAGCCTGGCTTCTGGAATCCTCAAACCCAACCATTTATAATGGGAAACAGAACACAGTCTCAAACCAAGGGTGCATAGCTTTCTTAGTGACTCAGGGCAGCTTTGCCCAGCAGCCAGGCTATTGCATAACCCATGCACTCTTAGGGATGTGACACATTTGCAAACTCGAGAGTCGCCCTTCCCATCACCCAGACACAGAAAGAAACAAGGCATTGGGTGTTGCTGAGACAGGGTCTCAATATGTAGCCCAGGCTATCCTCAAGCTGGTGATCCACCTGCTTCTGCCTCCTAGTGCTGGAATCACAGGTTAGCATCATCATGTCAAGGAAGGCTATAGGTTTGTAAGCAGATTAAAAACATGCTTGGAGATGCAGGCAGGGTGGTAAGTAACCAGGTCTGAAAGAAGTCAGGGCTGCCAAGGTAGAGGAACCTGGAAGCTAGACAGAACCTACAGCAGAAAGAGCTGTCCCAAGGTCATGTGTTGAACATCGGAGTCTGAAGCATCGTCAAAAGGAAACAATGTCCCCTGAGCAGAAGCGATGGCTGGCCAAGCGCCAAATATAAGTGCCAGGTCAGGAGGCAGAAAACACAGGCTGTCCGGCCATATACTTGCTTTGAACATTTCTGTGCTGGGGGAGATGTTATCAGTCCACACCCTTGGAATGAGCTCTAGCATGGGGTTTCTCCCCACGCAAGCTTCTCTGGGAGGACCTAGATGTCACCGTGATGATCACAGCTTACGAGGGCGCACGGCCACACAGTTTCAAGTACAGGACACAGGATACGCCAAGCTGTTCGCACACATCACTCAGCTAGACAGAACGCAGAGGACTAAGAAAGTCACCCTGAATCCTGGGTTTTGGCCAAGACAGTGAGACGGCACTGCCACCTGCTCATCCGAGTCAGCATAACTGCACACATTCACATTATAGACGAAGAGACTGAGGCCTAGCCCGACGCCAGCACACCCACAGTCCAAGATTCATCCGCAGTCACACCCATGGCCTCCCGATGGTCTCACTGGCCCTCAGGGATCTGAGAACCAAGAATCAGCAGGTTCTTATGGCCCAATAAGAACACCAAGGTCACAGCTTGTGAACCACCTGCCCATGCCCAGAGCTGGACCTTTAGGTAGCCTAACCCAGACAGATGACAGCAGGACCCAGGGACTTACGTGTCTGCGGAGCGGCGATAGTTCTCGGGGCATTCAAAGGACAGACAGCGGAAGCTGCCCTGGATGTTGAAGCAGGTCTCGTTGATGGAACAGTTATGAATGCCAGTCACACACTCGTCAATGTCTGCAGAGACTCAGAGACAGCATGGTATAGGCTAGGGCCATGAAAACCATCCCCACCCAGAGACAGCATGGTATAGGCTAAGACCATGAAAACCATCCCCACCCAAACAAACTGTGTGTTGACACCTTTGCTTTCTGTGGGTATAGCATCTGGTGCAGGATCTTCTGTTTACCAGACACCAAGAGTTACAAGAGCACACATGATCTTTGGAGTGGGGGCGTGTAACACAAGCAGATACTATGTGAGGTCCCATAAGCACTGCCTGGGATGTGTTGTCACAATCCTTGTCTTAGGGAAGGCTTACACAGCTGAAGGAACCTGCCCACGGTCGCACATTCTGTAAGTGACAGAGCCAAGCTTTGAATCCAGGTAGGTGGGCACCGGAATCTGGTGCATTTTTCCACGGTTCTAAAAGAACACCACCCGGACCTCAGGTATGACTGGCTCCATCTAGTAGGGCAGGAAGGGTCATAGCCTCTGGTCCCATGTCACAGGTGAGGAAACAAGACCTACAGGAACCATGCAATTTGTCTTGGGTCTCAGGGTAGTGACTAAAGTGGCCATGCAGGGGGACCAGACCTGGAGGCCCTGTAGCAGTTGGGGACCCCCTTCTATGACATTCCAATTGCTGGGGTTCAGCAGTATCACTGAGCCTAGGAGGCAGCTGTTAAGAAGTGTCATACGTCTGACTATCACTGGCAAAGGCAACTCTTGCCAATCTCAGAGAGCACAGCTCAGGAATGTGGGTTTGTGGTATTTTTACATTTTTATTTGGTGGGTAAGTGTGGGCATGTGCCACAGCATGTGTGTGGAGGTCAGAGGAGAACTTGCAACAGTCTGTTCACTCTTTCCAACATGTGGGTCTCAGGGATTGAACTCAGGATCACCAGGCTTGGCAACAAGAGCCTTATCCAATGAGCCATTTCACCAGCCCAGGAATGTGTTTTTGCTGTTTCTGGGCAGGACTCCAGGCTGTGGTGAGGGAGCTGGGCCAGGAGAGGAGAAAGAAGGACTGTTGGGGGGAAAAGGTCCAGTCAGACCTCAGAGAAGCTGAGTGTGTCCCTTCCAGAGAATGCCACAGGCCCTGCCTTTGGGTGGTCACCTTCTTTGTTGTTGTTGCTGTTGTTGTGGGTAGTATGCGTGTGTGTGTGTTTGTGTGTGTGTGCGTGTGTGTGTATGGGGGGCAGGGGTATGCACTCAATCATGTGTGTGTGTATGGGGGCAGGGGTATGCACCTAATCATGTGTGTGTGTGTGTGTGTGTGTGTGTGTGTGTGTATGGGGGTAGGGGTATGCACTCAATCATGTGTGTGTGTGTATGGGGGCAGGGGTATGCACTCAGTCATGTGGGGGGGGGCAGGGATATGCATTCAATCAAGTGTGTGTGTGTGTGTGTGTATGGGGGCAGGAGTATGCACTCAATCATATGTGTGTGTGTGTGTGCACATGTGCACATTCATAAATGTGTAGAATATTAGATATCTTCCTCTGTTGCCCCCCACATTTCCTCCCCCACCAAGACAGTAGCTTTCACTAAACCTGGTGCTCAGCACATGGCTAACTGGGCTGGTCATTGTCAGTCTCTGCACCCCCAGTGTACACGAGTTACTAAACACCATCTTCATGTGCAGGACCTGGGAGTCTCTGGAGTTTTTGGATCTTCAGCTTGTGGGGACTCATGAGGAAGAGGCTGGCTAACCTTGCCTGTCATCTCCTCGGGCAGCTCCTGGTGTGAGCCAGGGCTTGCACATAGGATCATTTGTTCACAGGCATGTCCTCAGCACTCTCAGGAACCAGATGGAGGGTCACGGAGTGCAGGGGAACCCGGCACCTTCTTAGAAATGGGGAGCAGATATGGGCCTACACTACCAACTTTCATCACTGAGCCAATGCCAGAGCTGACTCAACCCCATTAAATACTCGCAACCACCAGAGTCCCCAAATACAGAGCCCTCAGGGTTCTTATAACATACCACAGTCAGCCTCTTGCGGGTGCAGAGGCACCTGATATCTGCTCACTTTGATGACCCAGGACTTGGCTCATAGCCTATCTGCCCAATGACTGCGTCAGAGGCTGCACAACTAGACTAAGCTGAGGACAGGGTCCCTTCGGTCACTCTTCCAAGGGATGACAAGGACAGAGTAGGAGGAGGGCTCTGGTGTTCTTAGCTGACAGGACCTTCACAGAGCCCAGACAGCCCTGAGAACAGGCTAGGTATTGCACATGGGAGACCAGAACACCTCTTCCTACTCCCTGAATACATTCCCATCTGCACTCCAGCCCCTACATCTGGGAAGCACATCTCTCCCCTGACACTGTGGGACTTGTAATACCCCTGAGTGACACCAATGCAGAGACTCTGCCTTACTCACCTTGGCAGTTGCGACCATTGGGAGCGAGTCTGTAGCCAGATGAGGGACAGCTGCACTGGAAGCTTCCGGGGATGTTGATGCAGCGGTAGGAGCAGATGTGACCCCCAGTGGGCAGGGCACATTCATCAATATCTGCAACAGCACAGTGACAGTTCTTCCTCAGCATCTAGCTCTGGTCCACAGCCATAGCTGCATCTGGGCCAAGGAGTAGCCCTAGGTGTCCAGGCTGGGCTGGAGAAGGCAGCCACAGAGGCAAGCCAGGAAGAGGCCTGAGAAGGGGAAACTGAGGCCCAGGGAAGGGGTAGAACTAGTCTAGGGATATTTAGCAGGTTCGTGGTATGAAGTATTCACAAAGAAAGGGAATGAAGAACAATTTGCTAAAAAAAAAAAACAAAAAAACAAAAAAAAAAAAACCAAAACAAAACAAAAGCCCAACTAGCCAATCAAACAAACAAAACTCACAACACATCACAAGAAAATACAGGCTGAGTCTCCCTTATCTGAAATGCTTGGGACCAGAAATGTCTCAAATATTTTGGACTATTGCCACTTGTATAATAAGGTATCTTGGTGATTGAAGTCAAGTGTAACTCCCAAATCCATTTGTTTTATAGACACAGATTAAAGGTTATTTCTAGACAGTATTTTCCATGCACTTGAGTTTGGACTGTGACTCAGGGTATAGAACTTTGCACTGTAAAGATGAACTGGTACTAAAAAGCTTCAGGTTTGGGGTCATAGCTCAGTGGACGAGCATCTGCTGAGCAAGGCCCTAGGTTGGATCCCAAGCCCTTATACATACATATGCACGAGTGCATACACACTCACGCACGCACACGCACATGCACGCAAACCACATTGTTATAGCATCATGTTATGTAACATTTGCCCTTGAAGCTCCTAGTTACTCTTGAACTGTCATCTGGCTGGATGTGTCCAACAGTCCCAGGAGGGAGCATTGCCTTTGACAGAGAAGATGACAGTCAGGCCTAGTGAGGGTGGAGCTCAAAAGGCCAGAGCAGAGCTGGGTCTCAGGAGTTGACTCTCAGGTTGCCTTTCACCTCTCAGCCACATGCTGATGCCAAGCCCTCTGTTCTGTAGCTCAGAGTGTCAGCACACTGAGGGGTTGCAGCCACAGCATGTGTGTTTAAGAGTGCTCCATGGACTGTCTTCCTAATTTCAGTTTTAACCACAGTAAAAGCTCTTCAAGCTCTGTCAGAGGGAAAGCCAGGAGCCAGCCCAGCCTCCGTGGGAACAAATGGGAACTTCACCAAATGGTGAAATCCTGGCAGGCTCTCTGCTGTGGATTCTGAAATGTTGCTGTTTGGTAGCAATGTCAGAGTGCTCCTCACAGTACACAGGGTGCCCTCACCTTCACAGGTGACCCCGTCCACGTCACTGAGCTGGTAACCTCGTCGGCAATAGCACTGGTAGGAGCCGTAGACATTAGCGCACTCCTGGCTGCAAGGGCTGTTCAGGCACTCATTGACATCTAGAAGAGAAGAGGTCCCCAGGGGTCAGGCACCTGCCTCCACAGCAGACCTGACGAGAACACGGTCAGCAGAATCCTTCCTCATCACCTCCCTGTCGAAGTTCCAAGACTGAGATGCCCAGAGAGAGGAACCTCCACTCTAGTCCACTGTAGCTGAGAAATCTGAACTCTCTCCACTCCTGCTACTGCCGCTGTGAAGCCGCACCATTTCCTGGTAAGAAGGCAGTGACAGCTTCCAGGTTGGCTCTGTTCAATCTGGTCCCCATGGGTACACACGCACAGCACGACAGAATATCCAGAGTCCCATCAGGACCAGTCCCTTCTAGCTTTCAGTGAAAATCTCTCTTGCCCTCTCCATTTCATCTCCAAGATGGTGACGTAGGTGGAATGGTCGCCCTGGTACTCCCAAATCTCTGGACTTAGGGGCTACTCAGCAATCCAGCTACTGATCACCAATTAATTCTCTTCACCCAGAGCAAGTCCCAAGACAGGTCTGGCCCACCACTTGTTTTTGTAAATAAAGCTTTATTGGCACACAGCTATAAACATATTTGGCCAGGACTCATGGCTGCTTTGATGCTCCCACAGCCAAGTGGGGTACTGTCTACAGAGTGGCCAGAAAGGTTTAAAATAGTCACCATGCATCCAAGAGAAAAAAATATTGCCGACCTCAGGCTTAGAGATTCCTTCTTACATGCATTTACTACTGTTCCCCAGGGTAGGAAGAACAGCTTCTCAGTCAGTGCTTCCTATCTGTAGCCCCCACACGCCTGGCCAGGTTACCTGCTCAATCTATGTCCAGCGTGGTTTCCTATTACATCATAGACATACTCCCTGACACTGGAACCACATCTTGCTATACACAAAGTGTGTACACATGCTTAATTATACACAGAGAGGAGGCTGGCCAGGCCTCAGCACCATAGCCTCAGGATTATGCAAGCACAAGGCTCAGATGCCTAAGCACAGCCAGAAATTATAATCACAGCTGATAATACAAGACACTCTGTTATCTGTGCACAGCAAGACTCATGAACCCAAATGACTGACCAAGCCCTGCCAGGGATACTGGCTAAGTTTCGGCATGGCTGTCACTGGTTTACAGTCATATCCCTAGGGTGGGGAGTTCTAGCATCTTTAAAACAGCTGCCTAGGAAACCCTACATGAGTCTGGGAGCAGGAGAGATGTGGCTAAGGCAGTTGATGGCTGGCCTGCTCTGTAACCCCACCCTCACCTTCACAGGACCGGCCGTCCACAGACAGCCGGAAGCCGGCGGAGCAGCTGCAGTGGTAGGAACCGGGCGTGTTCTCGCACTTGTGGCCACACAGGCGCCCAGGATAGCGCTGGCACTCGTTGATATCTGAAACAGAGGGGCAGTCAGCTCAGAGCATGTCCACTGGAGTGGTGCCATGTCCCACCCATCTGCCAACGGCAGCAGTTCATGGTCCTCTGCCCCTCAATCCCTTCACGTCTCAGGTGGAAGGGCTGAGGCCTCCTCGACTGTCTGTGTGAAGCCCTGTGCTTAGACAAATGTAGCAAAGCTGGGCAGGTGTGCTTCTGTCAGCCCTGCCCCCAGGGGAGAGTCTGCGAGGATCTGTTGGAAGCACAGGGCAGTTCTCGGCTTCCATTGAGTATCCTGCTTTGGTATTAGCAAGTGCTTGCTGGCAGGGTCTGACACCACATCTAGCTACTTTTTTTTGTTTTGTTTTGTTTTGTTCTGACTACCTTTGGGAGCTATGCATCCCAAGGCCCTGGGCCCTACAGGTCTGTAACAAATCTAAGAAATCACCAATATCTTGTGGGCTGGAGACTTGGAAACCCTTGGAGGCTGGGGTCAAACAGAACAGCCATCCACAAGGAAACAGGCCGATACTGCTAGAGCCCTGCTGGTGGTCAGAGGCCAAGGTGGCAGCAGAGCTGCAGTTGGATAATGTCTTCTGACTGACGGTCTTCAATCTGGGACTGCCTACGCTTGGAACCTCCCGACATGAGGATGGGATGGACATGGTCACCCTAGATGCCACAGTCTATCCCCTGTGTGGTGTCACCCAGTCAGGACCCCCTGAGTCTGAGAGATATCACATACCCACACAGGTCCTGCTGATGCCATCAAAATAGTAACCAGCCTTGCACTCGCAGCGGAAGCTGCCGGGGGAATTCAGGCAGTGGTGTCCCTTCCCACAGGGCTCTGCTGGTGGCGAGCACTCATCCACATCTTGTGAAGAAGAAAGGAAGACATGCTGAAGGCCTTTTGGTGTGCGCACCAAACTGTCCACTGACAGCAGCAACCCAACCTTCGCAGAGGACCTACTATCCCCCAGGCCCAATCTGGAACAGTGGCTGACCCCTCCAAGAGGCCAGCACTGATCTCCAGTGAGGCAGGAAGTTCCCAGGGCTGTGGGGGAGATGCTGAGATGGCCTGGGGGTTGTGGGGAGGACGGTCCCTCTCCTACCAGAGATCTGGGCTAGTGACTCCCCTGACCTACTCAGGAGCAGGCATTTAGTGGGTATAAATAAGACACCACGCCATGGTTTTCTGTCTCTGGGGGGTAACAAGACCTATGTCATCCAGACTAGCTGTGACCAATTTAGGAGAATTAAATTGTGAGTATCCATCATTGGCCATCAATAGGCTATGGCCGGTAGCCTAAGAACACTGGGCAAACTGAAGGCAAGGCTAGAAGGGCCGGTGTGTTATTGTAATAGTTCAGGCAAGACAGCAAAGGCATGGGCCTGGAGAGGGGCAATGGAATGGACTGACAGGCAGAACGTCTTCACTTTGGTGACCAACCCTCCCGTCTAGAGAAGAGAAGGAATGTACTGGAAACAGACAGAAAGTTAAATTTCAGAAATGTGTTTGTGTGTGTGTGTGTGTGTGTGTCTGCGTGCGTGCATGTGGGAAATGTGTACAAGATACCAACCAACACAGCGGGTTCCCTCTTCATTGAGATGATAGCCACGGCCACAGTTGGGCACATTCTTCTGACATGTGTAGGAGCCCTCTGTATTGATGCATGTCTGCCCCACAGGGCATGGGGCACTGATACTTAAACACTCATTGATATCTACAGAGAAAAGAGACAAGATGCGGCATGGTTAAACATAGAGGCTAGCCACAAATGCAGCCACTGGACCCCAAAAGAGCCTTTCCCCTCTCTCAGCAAAGTCATAAAACAATACACCCTGACCCCTTTACCCTACAAGACGAGGCTGCCCCAGGCCCTCCCTGTCCGCGCCCCCCCCCCCCCACTTCCAAACACAAACTACTCCATCTTCTGCGCCACCTGCTGGCCTGGTTTCCTGTATGCATCTGACCCACATAGGCAGATAAGGCCCTACCCTGAGTGTGGAGCCAGGGAGACAGAGGTACTCATCCCTCTGTACCAGCCTGAGAGCCCCTAGGCTCCTCTGGCGGGTGGGAGCCCCATGTCTACTTCACCTGGTCAGTCCTTGGTAGCACCAGTAATATAGTTCCTGACCCCACACTGAGTCACTGTGGTAGCTGTATCTCTGGCTACCATCTCCACAGAAACTCCTTCCTGTACTCTCATCCACCTGACTCAGGCCACTCAGAACTCCCCGTATGGAGTTTCCTACCTTGAGAGGACACAAACTCTAGTAGAGGGACCCCTGGCCATTTACCACTGATGGACACACACAAACAAGTACCGGTACCAAGGAACATGGGGTGCACAGCTGTTGGTTCTTTATGCTCCAATTCTATGTCAAAATCAAACCTCTTCCTAAAGCATGTCTAAAAAGACCCAAGTCTCAGAAAGGCACCTTCGGGATCTTCCTAGTTCACACATTCACAAAGCACACTGGGGCTGGGGGACAGCAGGAAGGGGGTGATGGTGGAAGATTGTCAACTGAAGCAAGATCAAAATTTACAAGGTCATCACATTTGCTACCACTCTGGATTGCAACAACAAGCCTGCAGGTGGCAGACCCACCATTACTGTCTGTTTGTGACACTGGGAACCCAGAACCTGAAGAGAGCAAGCAATTCCTCAGGCTCACAGGGGGCAGAGAGGGCAACCTGGCCCAGGTCTAGATTCCTGGCATCCACCCTCACAATCACTTCCAGTCTCCTTCCTCAGCATCCCTCTAGCCAAATCTGGCCCGCTGCTTATTCTTGTAAATAAAGTTTCATTGGCAGTCAGCCAGTCCCGCTGCCTCACATGTGGGCTACAGCTGTTTTGGGCATTACCCCTACAGGAGCCTGGTGATTGTGACAGAAACCAGATGGCTGGAAGGCTGATATCCATGACCTAGTCCTTTACACAAAGCTGGACAACTCCTGCCTGTTGTCAGTGGTGACTGCTGAGGCCAGTAGTGACCCCCTCAGTCTTGAGTGCTCCTATATCTGTACTGGTTGGTTTTGTGTGTCAACCTGACACAAGCTGGAGTTATCACAGAGAAAGGAGACTCCTTTGAGGAAATGCCTCCATGAGATCCAGCTGTAAGGCATTTTCTCAATTAGTGATCAAGGGTGGGAGGACCCATTGTGGGTGGTGCCATCCATGGGCTGGTAGTCTTGGGTTCTCTAAGAAAGCAAGCTAAAAAAGGCAGGGGAAGCAAGCCAGTAAGTAACATCCCTCCATGGCCACTGCATCAGCTCCTGCTTCCCGACCTGCTTGAGCTCCTGTCCTGACTACCTTTGGTGATGAATAGCAATGTGGAAGTGTAAGCTGAATAAACCCTTTCCTCCCCAACTTGCTTGGTCATGATGTTTGTGCAGAAATAGAAACCCTGACTAAGACAGTATCCAAACACTGGTATCCCTTGAGACTGCGAGCTGTCTGGAGGAAGGAGTCCATCGTCGGAGCTCTAGGAAAGTCAGATGATGAATGAATGAAATCAAGTGGGCCAAGAAAGATGAATAGATAGGAAAGGCCAGAGGCAGGTTTGGGGACACACTGCATGCTTGCCCTCATGGGATCCCAATGGCACAAGCGCAGGGTCTCTGGCTTCATTCTCAGCTCACTTGTCTTACAAAGCACTTATAGGACCAACTAGGACCTTTGATGGCCCCAGGATCTTTGAAGAACCCGACACCTGTGGGCTGGCATATGGGAAACAGTGCCCTGACCCCTTCCCTCCTCTTCACCAGGGAATGATAGAAGAAAGGGAACATGAGGTAGAGAGTGAAGAAAAAGAAAACCCAGAAAGGACTTCCTTACAGTGTTAAGAATCAACCTCAAAGTTCTTAAAACAACAACAACTTATATTTTATACGAAGAAGGCCTCAGCTTTCTCAGCCCGGCCTCTGGTCTCCTGTGCTAGTCTGACAGGGCAGGGTTCATCTTTCCTTGCATGGAGATGGGAATGGAGCAGGGTTCGGGGAAAGCAGATCCTGGGGTCCCTGTTTCCCACCATAGATGGGGAACTGCTTTGGGAGATCAAGGAAACACAGGTAGAAGTGTGTGGGCCATCGGCCCTGGATACATAAGAGAGGAGAAGAGACAGCCTGCAGCAACCTCCCAGATGGTCTCTATCTTTGGTTTTTATATTGTTTGGTTTTCTGAAACTGGGTCTCAACATGTAGCCCAGGCTGGACTTTAATTCCTATACAGCCCAGGCTAGCCTTCAACTCATTGTATTCTTCTGCCTCAACCTCTGCAGGTACGCTTCACGGTGCCTGGCTCTTCCCCCTTCTCTCCTTACGCTGCCTGTCTCCTGATAGCTATTTCTGCTGCTGATGTTATTATTTTATACAGAAATAAAAAATGCTGACAGAGAATGATTTCTAAACACATTGTCAAGAGGGGAAAACCAAGTGGTAGAACAGTCCGGTCTTGTTTCCATGAAAAAACAAACTAAGGGAGCAATGCCCAGAAGGGCGGCCCCGCCCACCCAGCGTGGCCCAGCAGGCTGGGAGTTATTTTCTATCCTTAGGTTTTTCTCACTTATAATCAGATATGTGAGGCTTTTTTGTGACCAGCAAGTACAAAGGGGGACCTCTCCCCATGTCAAGTTAGAGGGCCTCTGCACTGATACACTGAACATCTCTGGCCCTTGATGTCACTGTAGACCCACAGAGAGGTGTTGGGATCTGGCCAACATCCTGGACTCCCCCAAGGCTTATATCCGATCTGGTGGAGGATGAGGGTACAGAGAGGGTTCGCCCATGAACCATCTCTGCCCTTGCACTCTTTAGAGGGAAACCTGGGGCATGCTGAGACCTGCAAAGGTTTCTCACAGAGGAGAGCAGAGCAGAGCCAACCCTGCCATGAGTCAGGCTTTCCATCAGCTGATACAGCCTCCAGGTAGGCCCCTGAGGAGGCTGCAAGTCTCAGCAGGGGCCCCTTTCCTCCCTGCCCCAGGAGAGTCACAGCCAGTTTACTGTGCGTGTGTGGAGGATGACAGTCTGACTTCAGGAACACAGCTCAGACACTTCTCCACTAAGACCCAGGCTGTGTGGGAAGGGCTTGGGTGAAACTCCTGGCCTAAAAGGTTCTACCTGGGGGCAGTACGACAGGGATAGGGGAAAAGAACTTTCAATCCCGTTTCTAGAATCTGGAGAGAAATAAGATAGGAACTCGCACAGCAGTGACCAGTCTTTCCTTTTAAAGGGGGAGAAGGGTTGCAACCAGCAATACCTGCAGCTCAATTTAGAAGACGGAAGACTCTGACCTCAAAGGAAAGGCTTAGAAGTCCCCACCTACAAAGCAGATCTGGGTTCAAATGCTAACAGCTTGGCCGCACCCCTGCGCAGCACAAAGACAACAGAAGAGAGAGGGGCAGGTGGCCCTCCCACCTGAGCAGCCTTTCTCTGGCCTCTTAGTGTCACACTGAGCTCATGGTTACTTTACACAATGGTTCACTCGTCTCTCTGCCCATGCATCTTTGAGTCTTATTATCTTCCGGATTGAAACCGTCTTCACTGAACACCACACTCTCCATCTGGTCATCCCTGGAGACTACCACTCTAGTCTGTCTTTATGAAGTCAACCATTTTTCTGTGAAACAGTTTCTAAAGGTCTAAAAGGACACGTCGGGAGCAACCACATAGGGAAGGATGCTTCTCATGTACCCATCCTATCACAAGTACCCAACGTGGTCCTTGTCCCCAGCCTCTCAGCCAGATGCTACAGTCACTTCTTATAGGGGAAACACCTGAGGCTTTAAGAAAGGAAATGAATCTTAGGACAAGTTCAAATCTAATAGTCTCTGACTCTTAAAACACACACTTCTTCACCCAAACCACAGGGATTAGATCCTTAAAGCAGGCCTTAGACCAAATCCAGCCTGCAAGTAGTTTTATAAATAAAGTTTTATTGAGATACAACCCTACCACCTGGGTCTATACGCTGTGCCTTTTAAACTGTAACTGCCCAGGATGAGTCACTGTGACCCAAACCACACGGCTCACAATGCCTATGGCATCTGCTATCTGCCCTCTAGGGAAGCTTGCCAGCCCTGGTCTGTGCTGACTGTCCCACGCTTGAACTAACCCAACTCCTGGCACCATGTCTTACCAATGCAGTTGCCTAGAGCATCCTGTATGAAGCCGCTCTTGCACTGCAGCTTGGGTCTGCAACGGAAGGATCCCAGAGTATTCTGACAGATAAAATCGGGGGGGCAGTTATGAATACCAGTCTCACATTCGTCAATATCTGGTGCATCATAAAAAAAGGAGATTGTTAGCAAGAGTCCGGCCAGAAGCGTGTCACAATACTTTAACATCACAAGAAAGTACTTCAAAAAAAAAAAAAAGCTCATTCCTCAGACTATAACCCCAAAATATTTCAACAGAAAGGGTGTTACGAAAAGGCCTGCGGTGAGGCAAACTGTGTAAAAATTGCTAAAGTCTTAAAAAACACTCCCCCCATCCCTGACTTATGAGGCAAGCTTTTTGCTATTTTAACAAATCGCTCAGGCATTTTTCTGCAGGTATATCATTCATTCAGAAGTGTATGTTTAGATTAGCTCATACAGCAATTATCTTAGTGACAATAAACACAGACTGTAATTCTTTTCATCCCGAGGTCTTCATAATAGTCCAAATAGTAACAATAGTTACATCAAGATAAGACAAGATAGATTGGCTTGTCTTGAAGTTCACAGCTGTCAAAGGTTCAAGAGTATCTACTCAGCTGGCCTGGCTCCCAGGCTCTGGAGTCCAGAGGCTCAGCCAGGAAGCAGTGCAGGGTGGGGCAGTGGGATTACTCAAGGGCTTGGCTGCCAAGAGAAGGCGTCTGGCTCTTGGGTCACCCCACATAATTCAGTGATCAACATTTTTACACAAGACCTGTGCTAGCTAGCGTCGCCAGCAGAGCCTGGTCTGAAATTGGCTTGGTTTTGTTTGTACGGAAACACAAGCGAGGACCCTGGACTTGTTTGTCAAGGATGAGGCTCCGAGCTTTCTTTTCTTTTCTTTTTTTTTTTTTTTTGGTTTTTCGAGACAAGGTTTCTCTGTATAGCCCTGGCTGTCCTGGAACTCACTCTGTAGACCAGGCTGGCCTCGAACTCAGAAATCCGCCTGCCTCTGCCTCCCAAGTGCTGGGATTAAAGGCGTGCGCCACCAACGCCCGGCGGCTCCGAGCTTTCTAAGTCAAACGTGCTGGTGTCATTCACTCAGCACCATATTAAAGAAAATCTGCTCAAGACAGCCCTCCCTTCATTTGCATTGTGTACTCGCAAGGAGATGGACCACCTCCTTCTTGCAGTATCCCAGGCAGCCACACGGGGGCAGCACCACAGAGCCCACTGGGCCCTTCCCTCTATGCCATACCCACAGCTAAGCAAGGGGAGATTTTTAGATTTGGATATGGGTTGTACCTTTGCAGTTATTATCCTCTGTGAGCTCATAGCCAGTCCCACAGCTGCTGTCCCGCTGGCAGCGGAAAGAGCCCACCGTATTGATGCAGGATTCTCCCAGCCGGCAGTTATGGCTGCCTGTGATGCACTCATTGATATCTAGAGGGATTAAGATGATGCAGAAGTAACCGGCGAGAACAACCAAGCCTTAAGCTTGCGCAGAAGGAATGTCCCAGAAGCCATCTGGCATCCTGCATCCATCAAGCTGCCCAATCAAACTGAGCTGAGTCTTGCTGTGGGCACATCTGGCCAGGGCTCTGGAGAGGGGCCGTCGCCATATCAAGCCCTGCTAAGTTTCAGATCTCTTTGTGTACGTGCCAGACCCTAGAATCACAGCATCTACAAGACTCCCACAAAGGAGGCAGCCTCATACCCATCTCTTACACGAGGGGAGAGGCAGAACGACCTACCCAAGGAAGGCCTCATGGCATATCCTGAATACAGAACCCAGGAGAACCCCAGTGCAGCCCTTTCCCCACACTGTTATCTATATTCTTCTGGAAGACAGCCTTGTTCAGGAGTCTAAACTCCAGGCAGCACTGGCAAGTGTGTCCCGGCTGTGCTCCAGGAATGGGACCAAGGCTGTGCCACACGAGCCTGCTCAGACCTCTAGCAGAGGCTCCCAAGCAGTGACCAGCTCTCAGATGTTACCTTCACAGGAGACACCATCCGACTGCAGCTGGTAGCCCACAAAGCAAGAGCAGATCACTTCGTCCCCGGTGTCGCGGCACTGCTGCTTACAAGGCCCGCCACCTGCAACCAGAGCCCGAGGGAGCTAGTGAACAGGCTGAGTGACCTCCAGAGACCCTCCCAGGGTGCACTGACCCAGAAAACAGGCTCCTTGCTACAGCCATTTGTGGTCCTTGGGACACTCCCAAGCCTAGGCTCTGGGCTTCTCTGGGGCTACTGAAGCCAGCAGAGGTCTGACAAGTTAAGGACCTTGTGTTGCCTCTGGGGTTAGAGTGGACCTGGAGAGGCATACTGCTCACAGTCAACAAGAGGCCTGGAGGGAACAGGCTCCACCTGGAGGCCGGGCTCTATTGGAGCCCCTGTAACTCTCAAACATTTCCAGCTGCCCATTCCCACCAGCTGGCCCGTGCCCTGGTGCCACCACAATTATGGGCACAGCCTCTTCCTGCCTGGTACCTCCCTAGGACTCATACAGGGGATACTTCGAGTCTAACCCCACTGGGATGACCTGTGCTTCCTTTGCCACTGCCGGGCTGGTTGCCAGGGGCACGCAGGCTTTACCATGCTGGCTAATGGATCTTCCTAAGTTGGCACACCGGCTGTCACTCTCCCAGAAATCATCTGTGGATACCCAGAGAGGACTCCCAGCTTCCTGGAGCTCCTTCTCTCTCCCCCTCCCTTCCTCCTGGCCTCAGTGCAGGCTGACACTGTGTACTGGCTTTATCATTTTGTGATTAAGTTGCCTGCATAACTAACACCCAGTCACAGAGTGAGCCCTTGGGTGGAGCTGAAACAGAATGATCAGTTTAGATATGCCGCCAACATGTTCCTGAAGAAAGTAGTTTAATCAAAAAAAAGCAAAGCTACACGGCCACTCTGACTTAAGTGCAAAGATTCTCCTGGGTGACCATGACTCTAAAGGGGCAATCGGGGCTCCAGGGACACACAGATAAGAAACAGCTACTCTCCTGGGGCATCCCAGCCTTGGAAAAGCATCATCATCTGCAGAGCCCAGGAGCTGCTGGTGCTGGAGTGCTCACACTGGCTCCGGAAGGCACTGTCCCCGACAGATCTCCTGCTCTGAGTACTCAAGGGTGGGAAAAAAAACAGGGGGCCCCCAGGGCCCCAAGAGCAGAAGTACTTTCCAGCTGAGTCTTGGCTGTAGTCGACACTATGCCCTGGGCTTTCTTAGCTACCTACCAAAGGGCTCCCACAGGTCCCAACGTCTCACCTCGACAGCGGTCATTCAGGTACGGGTCTTCTTGTTCCTCATCATCAGGAATCTTAGCTAGGGGTAGAGAGATGAGACAAGATCACACAAGCACCTACTCTTCCTGTCAGCACGGGACAGGAAGCCCATCTGAGCGCGCCGCACTCCTTCATCTTTAGTAAATGTACCTTCGCTTAAAGGGCCAGGTGAGCTCTCCCAAAACACAGCCTGAATTAGCTATCATAGCCTGCGAGTATAAAGCTCAAGAGAGATGTGAATGAGACAAAATTCCCAGCAAGCATAGCGCACGGATGCCTGCAGCTTCTCGGTGCTTCCTATGCGACTCAGGAGCTCAAAGTGTGAGTGAGCGGATTAAAGAACCAGGAGGTCGGGGCTGGAGAGATGATTAAAAACACATCTTCTCGCAGAGGACCTGGGTTCAGTTCCTAGCAACCACAGTTGGCTCGCAACCACCAGTAATTCCAGTTCCAATTCCCTCCTCTGTCCTCTAAGAGAACTCTTTTGACCATGGAGGCCACATGGTATAAATTTATGCAGGAAACACGCATACTCATAAATATAAATTAAAAACAAGATATTCCTACATATATAGAGCCATGCCCCTCAGGGCTTCAAGCACATCTGGTTGCAGTCGATGGGGGACAGGTAGAGCTGGTGAACAGCAGCTTTGAGATCTCTGGGAGATGCTTCTGAGATACCACACCCCTGAGGAAGAGCCTGCCGCTTGAACACAGATGCACCCACCCACTGGTCCATACTGGCCAAGCCTCAAAAAGGTCAAGTCCCCCTCCTCCACTGCACATCAAGGTCCCCATGAGAGGAAGAGATCAAAGGGCAATCAGCCACCAATCACCAGGGCAAAGTAAGGTCTGGAAGGGAGCCAGCCTCCTTCAGAGCACTTGGTACTCTTCCTGTCACAGCTGTGATGGTTAACCTCACATGGAAACCTGATGGGACGTCACTCTGAAGGGCGCTTTGGTGACAGGAGAGAGGTATTTAAATCGATGGACTCTGAGAGGAGCAGACGGCCCCTCCCGGATGTAAAGTGAACCTCACTCAGCTAGTTAGAGGTCCTAAGAGATGGAGACTGAGGAAGAGCATTCTGCCAGCCAAAGGCCTTCGGATTTCAGTAAGGCCAGCTTTTCCCTGGAACTTTGGCCTGCCATCCGACCCTCACACAGCTCTCTCTACACAGCTGTTCTTTGGTATCCATGGAGATTAGTCCTGGGACCCTGGAGGGCATTAAAACCCACAGGCAAGGAGGTGGAGAGATGGCTCAGCAGCTAAAGAGCATGTGCGCTGCTCCTGCAGAAGATCCAGGTTTGGTCCCAGCACCTATCTGGTGGCTCACAACCATCTGTAACTACAGATCCACAAAATCCTATGCCTGTTTCTGGCTTTGGTAGATACCACATGCATGCGGTGCAGAGACATAAATGCAAACAAAACATTCGTGCAGATAAAATAAAAAATAAATTCATTTTTAAAAATCCATAGACATTCAAGTCTCTTATCTAGAATACCATAGTGTCTGCCCATAATTTATGCACATCTTCCTATACGCTTAGTCTCTGGATTACTTTTAATACCTAATGTGGTATCAATGCCATGTAAATACTTGTTATTTTGCTCAAGGAATGACAAGAAAAATGTCTGCATGCACCCAGTACAGATTTACTATCTTTTCTCCAACATTTTCTTTGAGTGTGTGTCATGCGCACTTGTGTGTGCAGGCGTTACACCCAGGCATACACATGGAGAGATTCTACATCACCATCCAGTGTCTTCCTCTATTGCTCTCAAGTTATTTTTTGAGATAGGTTTTCCTCACTGCGTTGAGGCTCGATGCTGATTCAGCTAGACTGGCAGTCCTGTGAGCTCAAGGGGTCCTCCTGTCTGCTCTGCACCCCAAGCCCTGGGATAAAGATGCATGCTGCTTTGCCTGGCTTGTATGTGGGTGCTGGGGACCCAAACTCAGGCTTTTATGTTTGCACCCCAAGCATTTTACCCATGGAGCCATCTCCCAGGCCCCCTTTCTCTAATATTTTTAACCTGTGATTGGCAGAATCGAGAAATGTAACACCCACAGGAAGGATAAGCCAATCGTGTTGCAGATACACACGCCCTGGAGAATACTAACACGCTGCTCTACGCTGGAAGGGAGAGGAGTTACCTGGGTCCTGAGGGTCCACACCATCGCCTCGGACAAAGTCTGAATTCTCCTGTTCCTTCACGCAGCAGGCACGAAACACCAGTCCACATTGGTAGCTTATCACGAAGTTGGGCTCACAGGTCTGGCCTCGGGCATGGGCTGCCTTTCCCAGCATGCAACAGTGGCAGCACCTCTATGAATGGAAAGATTCTAGACTGGGTCAGGGGTTTGTACAAGTGGCCCTTGGGACCTTGAAAGAACCTCAGGGACACACCCCTGACACCATCTTTCTTGTCCGTGTTCTCAGGACAGCAAGAAAACATCTGATGTGGGTGATTTCTCAAAATGTCAGAAGTAGATAGAAAAGCATGCTAGGCCCCTCCAAGCCTTCTAGGTCTGTTTGGAAAGTAACCTACAAGACCTGGCACCTAGTAAGATTGCACTTCCCTCCCCGCCCACATGGCTGCCGTGATGGTATGAATTGAAAATGGCCCCCATAGGCCTTTGGCAATGGCGCTATTAGGAAGTGTGGCATTGTTGGAGTAGGTGTAGCTATGTTGAAGGAAGGGTGTCACTACGGGTGGGCTTTGAGGTATCAGACGCTTAGGCTAGGCCCGATGTCTCGATCTCTTCTTGCTGTCTGCCGATCCAGATGTAGGACTCTCATCTTCCTCTCCAGTACCATGTCTACCTGTGTCCCACCACGATGACAATAGACTAAACCTCTGAACCGTAAGCCATCCCTAACTAAATACTTTCCTTTATAAGAGTTGCTGTGGTCATGGTGTCTCTTCACAGCAATAAGATCCTAACTAAGATAACAACTCCTTTTGGACCTCACGTTCCTGACCAGCAACCCCCAGCCCAGCTCACCCATCTTGAGGAGAAGGGAACAGACCAACGCTCCAAGGGCCTGCTCTGTCTTCAAGGTCTCATCTCCCTGCCAGAAGAATAGGTGCACACTCTCAACTGCAAGAGTTGGGCACAAGAGCCTCAAGGCCTCCAGTAAGGCATGAGACCTGGCCACTCCCTTTCATGGAGATCCCATATCCCAAAAGTTAAACCTGTGTCCTAGCCCAGACCCTGGGGTACACATGAAAAGCCCCAGGTCAGTCCGTCTAAAAACAAAGAGCTTTCTAAGAAGTCCATAGCAAGAGGCTTCGCTTGCACCTGCGGAGGCTGGGGAGCTGTCTCCATGTCGTTCTACCAACTCCATAGCCACAAAGAACCCCAGTGATCTCACTCTCCTCTGTGCTGTGAGTAATCTTTTCCAGAAACACACTTCATTAAGTCAGCCGGGGAATCTGTTCCCACTCTTGTTAGAATGTTCTAACATTTCACACCTCTCTTCCCTCAAGTCTAGGGATGGGGCAGAGCTGTCTGCCAGGCATACAACGTAAGCAGAGCCCAGCCCTACCCAGGGAGGTAGTTGCTGAATGCTCAAAGTCCTGGCTAAGAGACCCCTTAACCAGGTCACTCATTCTAGCCCTGATTAGCTCCCTGTACTGGCTGGTTTTATGTGTCAACTTGACTCAAGCTGGAGTTATCGAAGAGAAAGGAGCCTCCTTTGAGGAAATGCCGCCATGAGATCCAGCTGTAAGGCATTTTCTCAATTAGTGATCAAGGGTGGGAGGACCCACTGTGGGTGGTACCATCCCTGGGGTGGTAGTCCTGGGTTCTATAAGAAAGCAAGCTGAGCAAGCCAGGGGAAGCAAGCCAGTAAGTAACATCCCTTCATGGCCTCTGCATCAACTCCTGCTTCCTGACCTACTTAAGTTCCTGTCCTGACTTCCTTTGGTGATGAACAGCAATGTGGAAGTGTAAGCTGAATAAACCCTTTCCTCCCCAACCTGCTTCTTGGTCATGATGTTTGTACAGGAATAGAAACCCTGACTAAGACACTCTCCATGTCAGCACCTCCCTCACCCCCTCATAAAGGCCAGATGGTTGTGGTAGGCCATGGCTATCGAGGCAGAGTCTGGACCCATGAGCAATCTTGGCCGGTGTGCAGACATGCCTACCCACCCTCCTAGAATCCAGACTGTAATCAGACTTTCACTCCTTGATTCCATTACTACCCTCCTGAGGGAGATGGGTGTTGTCCCAGAAGCCACTGTCATCGACTCTTCTGGAAACCACTGGGGGTGGGGGGGAAGGAGGGGACTGACAGGTAGGGTCTGACCATTAGTCTATTTGTGTGCAAGCCTAGAAGTGCCGTAGTCAGCTCCCATGCCCACACATGAGCCTTCCATAGCTAATGCAAGCTCTGCAACCTGGCCCAGATCCGGGGCCCCAGGAACATTCAGGAAAAAAACTCCCACTCTTATTCTGATTATGTTCTATGGAGAATCCCCTCTGAGTCCTCGACAAGGAGAGGCCACTGGAGTGTGAACCCCGCTGGACTCCAGTGTCTTCCTGTAGAGTGTGGTCACAGAATCCCACGCTAGTAGAGGTCCTAGTGTGAGTCTGGCGTGAGCTCAGAGCCTCAGTTTACCTGAGGAGCAGAGAAGCACTGGGGCCTCTTGGGCAACAGGAAAATGCCTACCCTGAACTGAGAGGATTTTGAAGGGTCCAGAAAAGACAGGGTAATCCTCAGGCTCTTCCTGTTTCTCTAGGGTGGAGCTGGTTAGTCACCATCTCACCCTGTCTTATCTGGAAGTCTGGCTGGTAAGGCATATTGTCTGAATGAGAAGGGAAGGGTACCCGAGTGGCCACAGGGAAAGGTGGACAGGGAGAACGGCGGCCTTGTGTGGTCCTCAGCCTTACTCACCTTTATGAACATGGCCTCGAGGCTACTGTTGTAGCTGTGGAGCGAGGAGCAGCCGTCTGGCTCACTGGCCAGGTTGATGCCCGTGGCGCAATGAAGCTCCTCCAGTTGGTTGTGACAACACTGCTCCTGGACCATCCTGTGGGCAGAGCAAAGGCTTTGCCAGGACCCCTTGGTGAAGACAACCTCAGAATAGAGGCTCAAGGAGAGGAGAGGGGTGATGTCCTCTGGACATCCCCCCACATCCCATCTCCCACAGGGAGAGACACACAGTAGGACTTAACAGGTGATTGGTTAGAGAGAGGAAATGCAGAGTGGTGTCCGGGATGGGAGCCAGGAGTCCCCCAACTCTGCACACAGTTGAGCCTGGTTATAGAACGTTCTCACCTATTTATAATCAAAGCAGCCTGCTGCAGGCTCCAGGCTCCGCCCTCCCCTCCTTCCACCCGGCTCTATTCTCCTCAGCCTCAGCTCCATTTTCCAGGCTCAGAGGGGAAGTTTCAGAGAGTCTTTCAACACAGCTTGTTGAAGGACCAGACTGAAAGACACTAGCAACCATGATGCCCAGCCCCAGCCTCCCGCCACCTACAGGCTTGGCTACAAAAAGCTCTTCAGAAAAAAGGAGCTCAGGTAGGACCTGAACCTGCCAGAGTCTATGCCTCAGACACAAACACATTTTGTGACATCTCAGAGGCCAGAGAGCCAGCCCTGCAGACCACACAGACGGAAGGGTGTCAAATATGGCTCTCATCCAGACCAAAGTAACCTAAAGGCAGAGCCAGCAAGGGCAGAAAGAGGAACCTAACCCATTTCAACCTGCTTCATTAGATTTGCAGGCAAGAGGTATTTCACTAAAGGAGACTGAGCAGGCTGCCTGATGCACCTCTGCTTCAGGGTAGCCAGGGGTTCTCAAGAACTGCAAAGGCTCCAGGGAACCTAGTTTGAAAAACCAAAGAATCAGTCTAGAGTCACTCAATCTTGCCTGTCCCAAATCCTCTTCCTCTGAGCGCTCTCTGAACCTGGTGAGGTGTGGGGCGTTGTTGCCTTAACGAGGCTTTAGGGAGAGGATTCACTGGGAACCTAGAACGGGACCCCAGGGTGCTGGGGTTGGCCCCTCAAACCCGAGGTCTGCTCTGAGCAACACTGCTGATTCTCTAGCCGGCCTCTCCACACTCCTAGCAGGACCAACAGCTGCTCACTTGGGTCTCTGGATGTTTAAGGATACCTAGTCTGATTCTCCACCTCTCCTCAGCCTTCTCCCAACAGCATCCCTCCCTCTCATATGCCCAGCTAGACAAAGTGAACCTCTAAACCATCACCGACACCCCTCTGACTCCCACCCTACTCCCAGTACTGACAGCTTGGCTCCCTGCCTCCACTTACTTCCGCAGTCAGACCCTAGCCCAGGCTACTGCCCAGTTCCAAGCCACCTGCATATCTCAGAGTCCTTCAAACAGCCTGCTTGTTTGAAGTTTCTTAGCTTCTGCTTCCTCATGTCAACTGCTTTCTGCTTTAAAGGGTCCTCTTTAAAGACAAGTCTGGACAGATGTACTGCCACCTTGTTTATGCCTAGAATCTCCATCGGATTCTTACCCTGCTTCCAGTTACTTTCTAAAGTAGCCACGCTACCAGGAACAATGGGGAGCACCCTCACCCCTACCTCCCTCTGGCTCTGTGTCTCTCTGCCCTGCTGCTCCACTCTGTGCAGACTCTCTGGATGCCTTGCTGCTGCCCTAAGAACCGGCACAGCCTGCCCCTGATCATCCATCCACACTGGCTGCTCCTGCCCTGGATGCTCTTCCCACATTTCACATATGACTGTAAAGATTTGATAACCTCTTTATGATCACCAACATAATCTATTAGCAGAATCTAAGGTTTAACACTCCCCAAACTTTGTGATTTATCCTGATTTAATCTAGAGAGAGAATCCAAGTTATGCCGAAGCTGTGTGAATGAACTGTTTGTGTTCTTGGGGTCTTGTGGGCAGGCTCCTCAAGTCACAAGGTCTCAGCTGACGCTCTACGACAAACCTTCCTTTTCCTTGGGGAGATGACTTGCCCAGAGTTAGACAGCTGTGGCAGACCTGACTGCACATCTGGATGGTTTTACTTTTCAGGCCAGGGAAGACAACAGATCCCCCAGTGAGCACCGGGCAGCCCAGGGCAATGAGCCAAGCTCTGTGCTCAGGGCTCAGAAGCACAGAGGAGGAAGCAGCAGACAAAGGGAGGGAGGTCCCCCATCACCATCTCAGTCACCCGGCACACACTGTCCCTTCTCCCACTTGCCTCTAGACGGGCATGTGACGTCAAACAGTGGTAACAGCACACATACCTGCACTCCTTGGATTCTGAGGTGTACGGCAGTGAGCAGTCCCTGTGCTGGTTAGCCATCTGATTTCCCTCTGAGCAGCAAGCCTCCATGGAGACATCTGCATTTGCTGTGCAGGGAAGAAAACATGTTAATGGGTGACCCTGCTGGGTATCTCCCCCCACCCCAGCCCCTGACCCCCAGCCATGCCATCAGGATGCTTGCTTCTTGCAGCCCCAGCTATATCATCAAGCCAAGTCTGGAAGTGCACGGAGCACTCACAGAACAAGCTTAATCACTTTGTAAACCAGTAATGAGCATGCCAACTACTCTCAGCTGGAAGCGTCTACCCGACTCCTTCCACAAAGACCTGGGCCAGCTCTGAGAGCACCTAGCTCAGTGCAGAGAGTCGAGCATACAGGCCACGCCCCTGCTTTCCTGGTCCAGACAACAAAGGCGAGTTCTGCAGACAGATGCATGGTGGGGACATCACTGACCTAGCACTCATGGGAAGACCAGGGTCTGACTCCTCCAGAGGGGAGGCTGAAAGAAAAGTCTCAAAACACGGCCAACCCTCCATCTCTGGTCCAGCTTCCGGGGCTCACATCCAGGTTTTCATTTACCGTTTGTAACAAGCTATGGGCGGGGCTTCTGCCCTCAGCATAGAGTTGGGGAAACTACGGCTGGTGATAGTCCTGCCCTTAGGCATAACAGTCTTTTGTAGAAATGGCGACAAAAGAGGTGAGAGGTCAATGCTGGCTTGGCACAATGCCAGGCTCAGAAGTAACAGCTGTCCTGCCAAGCAGCTAGCACAAGCCCTCAGCAAAAGACGGAGCCAGAAACTTACGCCCTCATCCCAGCCCAGGTCTACGGCCTCACTAGGTTGCGCCCCCTCTGCTAGTGGCAGGTAGAAGATCCCCATGAAACCCCAGGGAGGGAAATGTGTCCTACGGTGCCACACATTTGCTTTTAGCCCAAAGGACTTACAGGACAGGAAATAGTGCCAGCCCACTGTCTGTCAGGACCTTACAAAACTCAGCTTTTAGAGACACCATGGGAGCTTGAGAGATGGCTCAGAGGTTAAGAGCACTTGAAGGTCTTGCAGCAGACCCAAGTTCAGTTCCCAGCACCCTTATCTGGTGGCTCACAACCACCTGTAACTCTGGAAACTGTGTGCCTTCACACACTTGCACTTACATGCCTGCACATACATACTCATACATATAAATAAAAAAATGTCTCTAAAGAAGAGGGACACCATGAGAGGGTAGGAAAGACCGCTCAGCAGTGAAGAGCATGTCCTGCTCTTTCAGCGGACCCAAGTTCAGTTCCCAGCACCGAGATCACACCTTGTAGGGGAATCCGATATTCCGGCTTCCACATACACTCTTGCGCACATACCCACGCACAGGCAGACACATATAAACATAATTGTAAATAAAAAATAAATCTTTAAAAAGAATAGACCCTATGACGACTTCGAGGATCGCTCAGCCAGTAAAATACTTGCCTTACAAGTGTAACGCCCTGAGTTTGAACCCATGTAAAAATGCCAGGCATGGTGACATGCACTTTCAATCTCAGTGCTGGGAAGAGGGAGAGAGGTGGATCTGAGGGAGCTTGCTGGCCAGCCACCATAACTTAGCAAGTTCCAGGCCAAGAGAAACCCCACCTCAAAGGTGGCAAATGACGTTCTGAAGATGGAGTTCAAGGTTGTCTATTGGACACCACACACACACACATGCATATATATATACACACATATACAAACATACACACATATATACACATATACACACAAACGCATATACATATATGCACATACATATACATACATATAAGCATACACATATACATGCATACACAAACATACACACATATACAGACACACATACACATATACACATACACAAACACACATACAAAATATATATACACACAAACACACAAACAAAATATACACACATATATAAACATACACAAACATACATGCACATACACACACAAACGTGCACACACACAAATGCATACATACATACACATATATAAACATACATACAAACACACACACACACAAATCTAAGAACAAACAAGCATAAAAGCATTCACACAAAACAGGGTCCCAACTGTTCCAAAGAGGCAGCTGTGGTTCAGTCCCTGGATAAGTGTGTGGTGCGTCCCCATAGTCTCTCCCATGCAGCCCCAACCCCCCAAACACAACACACCACACACACACACACACACACACACACACACACGAACTAACACAACCTCACCAGATGTGATTAGACTCCTGCTCTCAGCTTGTCTCCTTAAGCTCTTCCCCAGACCCAGCCTCTCCCTCACACTGCCTGTCAGCCCCAGACCCCTGCAGGCCCACGCAGCTCAGTCTTAGGGGCCTGGGCTCCCATCTTGGAACCCTTCACTCTGGGCTCATCTCATTGGTCCTACTGTTCCATTTACCTGACACACTCTCCCAAACAGAGATCCTGACAGTGAGTCTGTCCCTTGTCCCCTTATACTTTGACCAAATCCACCATGGAAGCAAAGAGTTGAAATAATAAGCTAGAATGCTGAGGCAGGAGAGTTACTGCAAGTCTGGATTGAAGATTGTTCTGGGTTACACAGCAAACCACCCCCTTGGAAAACAAACACACAAACAATAAAAAACCAAAATCAAGATTGGGGGGAAGGGCACAGCTTTGGAGCCAAACAAACCCTGGCTCTAGTGCTGGAACTTTCCGTGAGTGACCCTGGCATGGCCACCTCAGTCCTCTGGCCCATAGCTCATTTGTGTTAAAGCAGAGCTCGTGAGAACTCTACAGTCTCTGAGAAGGTGGAGCAGGCTGATGAAGTTCAAACAGCGGCTCTGCAACTTGTTAGAGGACCTGAGTGGGGGACGGGGAATAGCCTCCTGTCACCTGAGGGGAGCCTCTGCCAGTCCTGTGTGCGACATTCCATTAGCACAGCTGCACTCTAAGTGGGTGGGTGGGAACTGAGTCCTGAGCTGCACCAGGATGTCTAATGTTTTGTTTTGTTTTTGTTTTTCCCCTTCCCTTCTGGCCCCGATCGCTCCTGCTCAAAGGTTTTTTTATTTATTTATTATATGTAAGTACACTGTAGCTGTCTTCAGACACCCATATGAGGGCATCAGATCTCATTACGGATGGTTGTGAGCCACCATGTGGTTGCTGGGATTTGAACTCATGACCTCTGGAAGAACAGTCAGTGCTCTTAACCACTAAGCCATTTCACCAGCCCAAATGTGTTTTAAAAGGATGCCTGTTAGGGGACCCTTGGACACTCCGAACCTTGTGCACTCAGCAAGACAATCAGATGTTAAAACTTTCAGGCAATGTGGAAACTTGGAATGTCCCTGGAATGTGGCTCCAGTGTTCTTGAGCACAGTGTCCCAGGCCTGATAGCTGCAGAGCTGTCTGAAAGCTTTCGGGGCTCCCCTAAAGCTGCAAGGGGTCAGCTCACCCTCCTTGAAGTTGAGATGTCTCATAAGTCAGTGGACAGTGCCTGCATGCTCCCTTAAGATACTAGGAAGAGGACAGGCAGGGGCCACAGCCAGGCTGGACAATGGCCAGAGGGGTAGGGAGTATCCCTGCGGCAATAAACAAGCCAGGGTTGAAGGCCCTTGCAAACAAGGTCCCACTTGGTCCCTAGATCCTGTCCCCTCAAGCTCTGAGCTCCACACCTGCATCTCAACCCAGGATATAGTATTAGTGGAATTAATGGCAGAACTGAGAAGCTGTAACCGCTTCCTGCCCTGTTTGCCTTGCCAGGAATACATTACTTCTAACCTTTCAGGAAGGAATATCCAGACCCAGAAGAACATTTGAGCACAGCATGAGGATTCAGAAGTCTTATTCTAAGTGATAATTAATCGCTCCAGCTACAGCCTAGGAAGGACAGCAGCTAGGCTGGGGACAGCAACATTTTCTGAGTCCCGCTAGGTACACCGCTAGGTACACTGATGCCCGAGCACCACTCTATAGGCCTAGCTAGCACTGTAGCTAAATAGTGAGGCCACAGGGATTGCCAAACAGGGCCTGTGTCAACAGCTGGAGCTGCACTAACTGGCCAAGCTCGAGGTGGAGTTATCTAAGGATGTGCTGGGAGCTCCAGCCCAACAGGAAAGGAGCCTGTGAGGACCCGTGCCAATCTAGAAGGGTTTGCAGCAGCTAGAGATGCTGATGCAGGCAGTAGAGGAGGCAGGCATAGGCATACCTTGGTCAAGCGGCCACCACCCTGCAGTTATCAGAAGTCCACCAGGGTTTTTCCTACATCTGTCCCCAACTGTTCCCATAGTCACCAGTCTCTTTCGGATACCTCAAGTGCTCAGCCACCAAAGGGTCATAGCAAGGAAGGCCTTCAGACTTCAAAGGGAGTCAGAAGCTGAGTTGAGTCCACTAACAAAGACAATGCTAATGTGTCCCCCTTCCCACCAAGGCTATGTTTCACCAACCAAAAGCAGCACGTAGCCAGCTCTGCCCAGGACTTGGCAGACACCAAGGCCCTACACGTTCCTGCTTCCTGGCACTGGACCTACGTCATGGACAGAGACGCATCTCCCTCCCCTCGCTGTCCACACACATAGAACCTGTGTTGGCCAACATACCCACTGAGGTTCAAGAAGCATTAATTCCAAAGAATGAGGAACCACTGGGCACAACCACCCCTAAACTACAGAGGCTGTTTGGGCAGAATGCTCTGCCTTTCAAAAGGAGGGTTCTTCCTGGTTCATCTCAGGGACCAGAGGGAAGGTTCCCAGGCTGGAGCTGAGCACAGCAAAGGGCAAGACTCGCTAGAAGTTTGAAAAGAGCTAGAGGACTGCCACTTCTGATCCCTGGAGATGGGTCTTACTATCCAATGGTGGGTGCGGGGCACTAGTCACCTCTTATCCATTAAAGAAGACAGAGCTATGGAAGATGAGAGGTTGGAGAAGTGAGGACACATCCCCGGGACCACAGCCCAAGATGCTAACAAAGGCGCCCTCTACAGAAGTTTGGGTCTTTAATGATGTGTATGTTCCATGCTAGACAGGCTCTGTAGGGCAGGGCCAGGCTGACTGAAGCACACAAACGCACATGGCAGGGACATGGACACACACACACACACACA